GCCTTTGATCACTGCTGCTAAATTAACCGCTGACTATAAATGATGGGACATGGTTGAGCAAGGCACAAGTCTTACAAAACCATCAGGGTCAGGGAGGCTTCACAGAAACACTATTTTTAGGTGAAAGAGCAGAGTGAAGTAGAAGGCAAGACATTGTCCTTTTCACCCTTTCTGGAGGAAACGGGGAAAATCCAGCAAAATGGGAGAGCTGGGGGAGACACAACCCAGCCACTGTCCCAGCCAAAAACTGCTGGTGTAGAGAGCACTGCCTGGCAGAGCCCATGGGAGAGGCAGCTGCTGGAGGCCACGGGAGGCTTTGCAAGGCTGAGGAAGGAGAGGGGAGGCTGCTGGGTTTGGGCAGCACACTCAGAGCTGAGGTGGAGAAGAGCGACAGGAGAAGCAAAGCAGCAGAGGGGCCCCTCTGTCAGAGGAGGTCCAGGGGAAATGAGCTGAAGATGGGGTGGGAGAAACCAGGCAGGGCTGCACCGAGGGGCTCACCTCCACCTGTGGGGTCTGGTGAGCACGCTGTGGGTGAGGATGAGGCCTTGAACTTTGCTGAAAGCCAGGTACTGTCAATAGTTTGGACCAAGGACCTCCAAAGGCCCCTTCCTTCCCAAATTATTGGGTTTTTCAGACTCTTTTGTACACCCTTTTTCCATTCACAGGCGCAACTTGGTCGAGAGCGTGACCAAACAGTACCTGAAGAAATGCACCTACCACAAGGTCACTGATCCCCTGTGCCCTGTGTTTGAGCTGGGGTACATTGTGAAGGAATCAGGCCAGAATTTTACCTTCCTGGCTATTAAGGTACTTCAATTTCAGATGATACCTCTTGCTGAGGTGGGGAAGGGGGGACACGGCAGAGGAATCATCCCCAAGCTGTTGAGCCACGAGGGATCTGTTTTCTCAAGGACTAGCCAGGCAGGGTAGGAATTAGCTCTTAAGGATCATGACTCTCCTTGGACACAGCCTCATGTTTAAGCCTCTCTTGGAAACTCGCCTGTAGGATTGACAAGATTTGATGTGCTGGCAGTAAATCCAGGGTTTGGTTTGTTTTCGTTTGTGCAATGAATAGTTAGAGCTGTGTGGCCAAATCCCATCCAGCCGAGCTGAGGAACCTCAGCTGGACAGACAAATGTTGCTCCTTGCACAATGCAAACAGCAGCCTCTCCCCCAGCTCAGGAGGGCAGCTTTGCCCTGGAGCAAGCTCAGGAGGGACTGCTTCGTTTCCTAGCAGGTGGAGAGGAGGTTTTCTTCTGATGTTCATGGGTTCTTTTCACTCTCTTCTATGCTCCTGTTAAATTGCCTTTGTTTTTCCCTGTTGTTGGTTTGATGGCAGGGCTAAGCCACAGGAAAGGTGAATCTTGTGGGCAAAATCAGAAAAGGGAAGGCTGTCCCACAGGGAATGGGGAGGATCTGCAGTGAGCACTGTTTCTCAGGACCATTCCTTGGGCATGGACAAGAGGGCATGAATTTACTGTGAGGGTGGCAGAGCCTGGAGCAGGCTTCCCAGAGAGGCTGTGGAGTCTCCTGCTCTGGAGGGATTCCAGACCCTCCTGGCTGTGACCCTGGGCACCCTGCTGTGGGTGAGCTGCTGGAGCAGAGGGTTGGCCAAGATGATCTCCAAGAGGTCCCTTCCAACCCCTGCCCAGGCAGACCAGGCTCGAGGAGGGGAAGCCTCATGTCTCCCCTCTGGGCTGCAGGGTGGAGTGGTGGGCATCACCATAGACTGGAACTGTGACCTGGACTGGCCCATCCGACACTGCAAACCCATCTACCAGTTCCATGGCCTCTACAACGACGACAGCAATGTCTCACCAGGCTTCAACTTCAGGTGAGGACACCCCTGGTAACCCTCCAGGCAGAATTCAGAGGTGACGTCTTTCAGAATCCAGCACCACTCCAGTGGAGGGTCAGGCAGTGTTCTCCACAATACTCCCTACCTGTGCAGTGCCAGACAGCAGTGCTCTCTTGAGAATGGTATGAGAAAAGGGATAACCCACCCCCTGGCCTCAAAATTACCCCACTGCCTTTCCCTGCACATCTCCTGCCCCCTGCAGACTCTCCTGCTCAGCTGAGCTCTCGGGAAGCCCCTTGAAGGACTGGAGATGGTGCAGGGTCATCTCACACGTTCCCACACTTCAGAGCATTCAGAGCTAGGCACAGTCTGCTCTAACTGCTGCTCTGTGTGAAGCTGCCACCAAAAATCCACTGTCATGTAGCACTTGGGGTCAGCAGGTACCAGCTCAGGCAGGAGCTTTAGCTCCAACTTGCAGGCAGGGAAACTGAGGCAGGGAGGGGAGAGGTGCCAACAGCCCAGCTGCCTCAGGGGGGTCAAGGAGAGGGTCAGGGGCAGGTCTGTGGCAGCACATCTCCAGATCTTTGCCCTGCTCTGCAGCCCACCAAGATCCTGGTGCCGTTGGGTGGCAGGGGGGGTGTCAGACAGACACCCTGGCAGGGGGGTATCAGACACCCTGGCAGGGGGGTGTCAGACACCCTGGCTGGCCATTACCACCAACCATCCCATGGACAGGTATGGCAAGTACTACAGAGAAGGAGGGATAGAGAAGAGGACGCTCTACAAGGTGTTTGGGATCCGGTTCGACATCCTGGTGAATGGCAAGGTAAGGGGGGTGGGTGGGGGGCTCACCCCCACCCCTGGAGTGGCAGTGCCACACCCCCAGGGAGGTCCCAGCTCTCTGGCACAGCACTGGGAGCTCATTTGGCCAGGAAAACCAGTGCAAGTGGCCTCCTCAGGTGCTGGCCCACTGACCCCACCCCTCGGGGAGTGTCGGGGATGGGGATGTAGAGGGGGAGCCCATTTTACAGGTCACATCTATCAGGTCAGTGGTTTTTGTCCCAAAAAACATCATGATGGGCTGGGG